TGTTATAAAGAATTATGTACTTTCAGGTTTCAAGGATTACCCATTCGACAAGCAATCAATCAAAGATCCTTGGGAGCATCTTACTAAGTTCTACGAGACATGCTCAATGTGCAAGCCAAATAATGATGTTATTGACGATTACATAAAATTATGTTTGTTTGGTTTTTATTTGATAGGTTGTGCTAAGAATTGATTGTAATGCATCAGTATTATTCAGACCTGGAAAAAACTGAAAGACAAATTTTTAGAGAGGTATTATTCAAATGCTTCGTTTGTAGAAAGAAAAACTGCAATTTCCAAATTTGATCAAAATGAGTCTGAGTCATTATTTGATGGATGAGAAAGGTTTAAGTCGTTACTATGTAAGTGTCTGAATCATAATATGAGTGCTATGAAACAGGTGACACACTTTATCAGCAGACTGAAAAAATCAACGAGAATTCTTTTTGGTGCCTCAGCCGAAGGTACATTGAGCGAGAATATTGAAGTTGAGGTAAAGACGCTGATTGAAAATATGTGTCAAAACGAGTATCGCTCAAGTGGTCGACCAATGAAGCAAAAATGTATTCTTGAAGTTGATTTGAACACAATATTATTAGCTTAAATGAAGGTACTTCTTAAACAGTTAGTTGTGTCCCAACTAGCACGAGCAAATGTGAGTCAAATTCATACATTAAAGTGTGATTTTTGTAGAAAGGGATGTGCAAATGGAAATTGTACACCAGATGTTGAGAGTGTTGGAGCTTAATATGCAAAACTTTCAAAAAAATAATTCATATTCCAATACCATTAATCCTAGTTGGAAATATCATTTGAATTTCAAGTGGAGAAACAATCAAACCTTGAATGCTAATCAAGGAGTTCAACAGGTTCCTCAAGCACCTCAACAATAACCATCACCACTAGAGGAGACTTTGGCCAACTTCATGAAAGCAACTGAGTCAAGTTTTGAACAAGTCAGCAAGACTCAAGAAGACATGTTTAAAACTCAAAGGGAAATGGCCCAAAATCATATCACCATGAACAAGAACAATGAAGCTTTAATAAATAATTTTGAGATTCAAATCGGTCAATTGTCTCGCTAAATGGTATTCCAAGATAGTTCAAGTGGGGGATTTATTAGTAACAACGTGGACAACTCGAAAAATGAAAGTGACAAGGCCATTGAATTGAGGAATAGATTAGTACATTTGAATCAAAATATGAATAAGGAAAAGAAAGAGTCGAGTGAGGGGACATAAATGAGTGAGAAAGAGGTAGTAGTAAAAAAAAAAGGTTGAAAAAAATTAGAGGAAGAAAAAAGTGAGGAGTTGGGAAAACATGAAGTTAGAGGATACACCATTGACCAATTCATAAACAAAAACTCACCATGGAGAAGAACCAATAAACAAATTACGAATGAGCCTAATCTCAAACTACTTGATTACATCAAACCACCTTACCCCATCTTGAAAAAGAAATAGAAAAAAGAGATGAAAGTGGGTCAATTAAAAAAGTTCATGGATATATTGACAAATATACAGGTTAATATTCCATTTTTTGAAAATTTCAAACAGATGTCTGTTTATGCTAAATTCATGAAGGAGCTCTTATTGGAAAAATGTAAGTTGAAACATGATGAAAACATTACTCAAGCAGAAGAATGCTACACAATAATTCAAATAAAGCTTCCTCCAAAACTCAGTGATCCATGTAGATTCACTATTCTCTGTTCCATTGGTTCTCTAACTATTGGCCATGCTTTATGTGATTTATGAGCTAGCATCAATCTGATGTTGCTTTGTATGATGAAGAAGTTGAATTATGATGAGGCAAAACCAACTAAAATAACTCTAACCTTTGTTGATCGACCAATCACATACATCTATGGAGTTTTTTAAGATGTATTTATTAGAGTCGACGGCTTGATGTTTCCCGCATATTTTGTGATTTTAGACACGCCGTAATATTCTAAAACATCATTACCTTTTGCAAGACCATTTTTGGCAACCAGTGAGGCTCTCATTAATGTAGAATGGGGTGAATTAACATCGAGGTTTAACAAGAAAAAAGTTGTCTTCAATGTGTTTGAAGCAATGAAGCACCAAAAAGAAAACCTGCAATGTTATAAAATTTATGTGATAAATGAGGTTGTTCATGATGTAAATTCGACAACTAGACCTTCACCGCCAATTGGTCGAGTTATTCTTAATTTAATTGAATAGGCGAAAGATGGATCTGATATAGAAGAAGCATAGTATTTACTTCAACTTCAAGTAACACATGTCGATTATGCAATAAGAAAGATTGATGAGTTAATTGGTAAGGAACAACAAAGTCAACCACTAGCCCAAAAAGATCTTGAACTGAAGGAACTTCCAAAACACCTAAAATATGTCTTTTTAGGTGAGAATCCATTACAACCAGCAATCATCAGCAACTCTTTGTTAGAATTAGAAGAAGAAAAATTACTAAGAGTGTTAAGAGATAACAAGAAAGCACTCAGTTGGAGTGCAAATAATTTAAAAGGAATCAACCCAACTTATTGTATGTAGACGATAAAATTGGAAGAGGAATTCAAGCTTGTATTTCAACCACAAAGAAGATTAAATCCTTTCATGAAATAAGTGGTAAGAAAAGAAGTCTTAAAATTGCTTGAAGCAAGTACGATTTACCCGATCTTTGATAGTTCTTGGATGATTCCAATGCATGTAGTCCCAAAGAAGAGAGGTGTGATTGGCATTTAAAATGAAAAAAACGAGTTAGTTTCAACTCGAACTATTATCGGATGTCAGGTGTGTAGTGATTACAGGAGGTCGACCCAAACAATGGGAGAATATCATTTTTCATTACCTTTTAGGGATCCTATCTTTCATATTTGTATTGTAAATTTTTTTAATATTAAAATTTAAAAAAAAATACTTAAATTTAAAATTATTTCAAATGATTTTTATAAAATTATTTGTGATATACTTTTTAAAAATAAATTATTATTTTGAATATATTTTAATTTTTAATAATGTATATTTATGTTATACAATGTTAAAATTAATATTTTTATTTATAAAAAAACATTTAATAAAAAAATTATATTTTAAAAAGCTTTTTGTTAAATTTATTTTTAAAAACGCCTAAAAATATAGTATTACTTTTTTAAAGCGAAAAAAAAAATTGGTTAAATATTGGTTACTTAACTAAAAGATATACTCCTGGTATTTATAAAGTGAATCTAACTCATAAGTACTGATTTTGTGTGTTGTAGGTTGGAAATTACATTAGGTCTAGCAAAATCATATTGGTACTGTAATTATTTCAATTTCATTTTCATTGACATTAGGAATGATTTTGTATGTAATAGATTAAAAAAATTTTTTTTTTTATAAATTCTCTTCTTTTATATGGATAATGACTTTGCCTCCCTCCCTCATTGTGTAATATTTTATTTCTCAACAAGGCTTCGATGAAAAAAGGAGTTACCGAAAATATCGGCATTTTTTTTATAAATATAGGATAATGCTAACTTGTGTCTCAAAAATACAAGTTAAAAATTAAATTAAAAAATATCATTTTAAAAATTATGTACAAACTTTAATTAAAATATAAAATTAATTTTTAAATCGTTTGTTTCAATACAAATTTACTATAAGTGTCTTTCTTAACTTGTGTCTCAACTTGTGTCCTTGGGACACAAGTTAGCATTACCCTAAATATAATCAGTAGAAAACAACCTCTTAAAATTTCAATAAATATCAAATAATTATTCTTAGAAGTTATTTTAGGTCTTCCGTCTTTTTTTTTGTAATTTTTTTAATATTAAAATTTCAAAAAATATTTAAATATAAAACTATGTTTGGGATACACTTTTAAAAAAATTGTGATTTTAAAAATATTTAATTTTTAATAATGTATATTTATGTTATACAATGTTAAAATTAATATTTTAATTTATACAAAAAACATTTAATAAAAAAATTATATTTTAAAAAGGTTTTTGTTAAATTTATTTTTAAAAACACCAAAAAATATATTACCTTTTTAAAGCGAAAAAAAAGATTGGTTAAATATTGGCTAGATAACTAAAAGATATACTCCTGGTATTTATAAAGTGAATCTAACTCATAAATACTGATTTTGGAAATTACATTGGGTTTATCAAAATCGTATTGGTACTATAATTTTATGGAAACTAAAATATAGTTTTTGCTAATTTAAGTTAACCTCATAATTATATCAAATTCAGACAACCAATATAATTTTATGGAAACTTTAAACTATAGTTTTTAGCAAATTTACATTAACACTGTAATTATTCCAATTCAGACAGCAAATAATACCACAAATGGGATTCAACTATCCTAGAAAAAAGATCACTCAGGAAGAAGCACCTGGAAAGTCCACACACCAAATATTCCGGACACTGTGTCCTATAATGAATCTATTAAGTCCAAAAATGTCCTCCTTCTACTAATGTAAAATTAGGACAGCGTCATTGTAATTGCCCATATTAGAAAACTTTCACTCACACTAATGGCCACCATTTGATTCCCACTACCTTCAATAAGTAAGATACTAGGAACCCAACAAAAACAAACAAATACAAAAATTAAAGTTGTGGCCCTATATTATAAGGACCCCACCCAAATCAAAAAATAAATTCACTCCTCTAACAAATCCAAACGGATATTCTGACCATAACTCACACAACAACATATATATCCCATTCTCAATATTCAGATTTTCCAGAATATATCTCAAACGATACGTTTTTTTTAAACAGTACTAGTACTAATTATAAAAATAATTAACAAAGTAAATTAAAAAGAGGGATATTCTATTCATGTTCCTTTACAATCAAAATTCACATCTCATTACTGATATGACATGACATGAAGTGAAATCACATGTCCCTCGCTACAACTAAAAAAGAAAATCTACATATTAATGTTTTTTCCCATTTTTTGGTTCCAAAAGAAAACTAGTTGGTTCACCTAATTTCTAGTTGAGTTAGAACTTACTAAAACTTAAAACTCTCTAGGATCAACAAAAATGGAAAATCCAGGTGGAGATTTAGTCCAATCACCAACAGAACCATCGCTATAATCTTCACCAAGTCTCTTAATACACCACAAATCCTCTTCACAAGATAAAGCCTTCCAATGAGGAATCGCAAAACGAAGAGGCTCGCAGCTAGAAACCTCAGTAGCAACCGCACTGCAACCATTTTCCATAGCAAGATTATGAGCAAAACCACATAACGATTTCACCATCTTCAATGCTTCAGGTCCTTCCCCACCAATTCCATACATTAAATGAAACCCAAACGGTTCAAAAAAATTCGGAATCGAAGGTAACCGTAACCACGGAAGAGCCTTGTCTATCACGCGAGTGGTTTTAGCCAACACGCGTCTCACGCGCGACGCGCCTTTCACTTCAAGTGTAAACAAGTCTTTACAATTCCAAACACTCAATAAAGCCCATGATCCCGGTGGATCCATTAAAAAGGCTTCTGGCCCGGCCCAATTATCCGGCCCATATTTTCCATCACACGGAACAGCGAGAAAAGTTCCGAGAGTGAGTTTGTTTTTCAAAACAGAATCAATGTCACGAGGAAAAAACTCGGTGGTGGAGAATTTGTTACGGTAAATCGATTCGGCGTCGTTTGGTGTTAGCTTAATAATGGTTATTTTCGACGAAGACGTTTTCACACGGTGCGCAAAAACGGGATTCACGAGAATTGACGGTGTACGAAACTTTGAGTAACCGCATTTGTCGGTGAAAAGTTTAACTGATGCAACGTTGTCGTTTTCCGTTGCCATGTATGAATACTCAGCACCATTCTCTCTGAACCATTCTTCCATTTTTTGTACCAGCTTTAACCCTATCCCCATTCTTCTGTGATTCGGCGAAACTCGAAGGCCTAACACGTAAGCGAGTTTTGTAAACACAGGGACATGATTGGAATTTGCCTCAGAGTTCTTAGTGTTCTTAGTTTGTCTTATGATCTTCTTCCCACAGGTAACCGTTTTGATGCAACCTCTTATCATTCCAACTGTCTCATTGCATACTTCAGCAACCTGAAATATAAAAGTAGGAAATTTAATATTTATTGGCATTATGTATAGATATACTATATATATATATAAAAGTTTGAAATTTAACATACCAGCATAAGGAAAGTTGGTGAGTTGCGGACCCTGCAAATAGGGTCACCGTGCAAGTCTGTGAAGAGAGAAAGTTTTCCACTGGGACCGACTTCACATATTTTTTCAACTGCTTCAACACTTTCTCTATCTTTATTTGGATCAAACTCTCTAACACTAACAACCACCGCACTACTCAAAATTTCTTCACCCATTTCTCAGTAGAAGAGTAAGAAAAAAATTTGATTGAAAATGAAAGAGGACTAGTGAGATAGAAGTGAATGAAGGGTTTGGGTTTATATAGAGGGGGAGTGAGTGAGTGATGATGAATGAACAATATCAAAGTGAGGAAAAGAAATCGCGGCTTTTTCGAGACTTAGCAATATTGAGAAAGTAACCTAGATTTATAAATAAGTAGAAAGAGGCTTGTACTAAAAGGAGAGTTTGTTTTGAATGTGATCACTGTCTCAAGCGATTTATAGGGAGAAATAAAAAATAAATAAAGAAAACTAAAAAACAAAACTCAACAACTAATGAAAGAGAAGATATGGAAAAAAGTTTTATATATGCCTATAAATTGAGTGAGTTGATCATCTCATAATAGGTTTTGTGAGGTATACATCAAAATCCTCTTGTGAGAAGCTTTAAATACTACCTGATCTTTTCAGCTTTTTGTTTTGGAGTTATTTTATAAAAAAATCTGTTTCTCTCTGTGTGCAGAATCCATAGCACTTCTTGTATTTAATAAATTAAAAATCTTTTAAGTAGAATATGTGTCTTTATCTGTTCTCCTTTCCTTTATTTGGTTCACTTTTAGCTTTCTCTCACTAGCGATTCTAAAGTATTTCCTCTATTAATAATAATGATGAATGAAATTAAATACAAGCAATAATTATAAGAAAAACATAAAGTAAAGGAAAGAGGAAATGGCGGCTATATGGCTGCGCGGTTGTGTGGAGATGTTAAATTGAATTAAATTATAATGATTACTGGTAAAGTCCTGCCATCTTCCCTAAGTTTATAATCATTACCTTTTTTACACTCTCTTTATGGTCACTACTGCTACTTCCACTATATTCATGTGTGTATGCACACGCATATTTCATGTGAGAATGGGATGATAATCACATTTATGAATACATCTGAGTAACTTTTTAGTTATCTTTATTTAGTTTCGAGACCCGTTTGTTTGGTGTTTTATGGAAATGAGTTGTCTATCCACTGGCTTTTGATTTTTAATCTAAAATAATTTTCAAAAAATTATGAAAATTGAAAAGTTTTTAATTATAATATTTAGTTTATTGGTTATTGATATATTAAATGTAATACATAAATGGGTATGTAAAACGTTTACCTATGATTAAAAATTAAAGTCACGTTCTCATTCTAAAAAACCAGAACTTTTTAATGTAAAGATATTTGTGTTAAAAATTGTGCCTTCAACTTATAAAAAGTTGAATATTGATTTTTGATTTTTTTTTTCATTTGTATTTCAGAAAACAAGTTAACCAGACTATTATTTTTCTAAATGTGTTATTTAAAAATAAAATCAATTAATATCTTTTAAACATTTAGTATTAATCCGTCAAAAGAAGTAAATAGTTATGGTATGCCAATAGAAAATAATTAATTTTTTTTTAAAGAGTTTTGTTTATATATATATATATATATATATATATATATATATATATATATATATATATATATATATATATATATATATATATATATATATATATATATATATATATATATATATAAAAGGCCGGGCATGTGCAAAAGCAACAAGTTCTACTGCATAAAGTTTTAAATATTATCTTAAATTTTGAAAGGAGTAATTTTTTTTAATTAATATTAATAGATATAAAAGAATATTATAAAAAAATGAGATAAAACAAATGTCAAAATAATTATAATTAAATTTATTTTTAATTAATATATAATTATATTTTTATATATTATTTTTAATTATTTTAACTGTGTTTTATTTTAAAAATTGAATCTATTTTTAAAATTAGAATCATCTCTAAATTTATTATGCCGACCCTGTATAAAAAGTAAAAATGAATTTATATTGTATCAATTTTGTTTATTATTTTAATTGCAATGGTGAGATAATGTGTTTTTCATGCTTGAAATTAAAATTAAAAATAAAATAATAATCTCTTCAATTTTAAACATAACAAAGTTAATTCAAAATATAATCCACCATTATGTTATATTCCCAATTATTTTTGATTTGTATTAACTCTATTATTTTTCATTTGTATTAACTCTTATACATACTATTAATATATTTAAAATAATTAGTTTTCTTTTTGTGAAAATCTATTTAGACACTCCATTGCTCCATTGGTGATGTGAGTGTAAGTAGATGATGCAGTAGAACATACACCATACCGTGCATGATTTCCGGGTGGATGAATAGAGGATGTTAAATCAAACCGCAAAGGGTCGACTTTTCTTATCTCTTGAGACTGTGTTATTACATGTGGTCATGTGCTACAAATATGACATTGTACGGCTGTGAAACCACTCCTGTCTAATCACTTACTCAGCTTTTTAGTTTTCTGCTTTTACCACTCCTTAACTTAACTTTCTCTTCATAAAATTACACTCTCACACTCAACTAATTACTGTGTAAATGAGTAGTTGGAGAATCTTTTGCTTTTATTTATGATAAAAAAAAGGAATGCTATGTTTACACCACGTCCAACACCCATTTTCTACACCGTTTACACTGTTTATTATATTTATACGGTGAACAGTATTTTTTTTAATAAAATAATATATTTTTTAAAAATATTATTTTTTTCAAAAAAAATATTTATTTTATAACATAAATATAAGATTGCACATTAATCAATTTTACAGTTGTATTGACCACAAAAATCTACATTATTAATCAATTATTTTAAGGGTGTAAAAAAGAGTGTAAGAATAGCAATTTTTCTAAAAAAAACTATGAAATTTGAAATTTTTTTACCTTAACTAATAGTAATAATTACTATAGTTTTAAAATAACTATAAATATATTATTACAAATGTTTATATATTTGTTATGTTTTTTTATGTAAAATTCAGTAATATTTTTATAATTTATGAGAAAATAATAATAATTTTTTTAAATAAAAAAATAAGAAAGTTCTTTTTTATACTTTTATGTCATTTTAAAGAGTCTAAATTCATATTTGATCTACGATATATTTTTTTTATTGATTTATTTCTTCATAAATGTCAAGAAATAATTAATGATAAATACTTATTAAATTAATCATGAATAAAAAATAGAAAACTTTTAGAATTTATTAAAATATAATTATATTTCAACTTACATTTTTAGCGTATTGAAATTTAGTTAAGATTACAAACTTTTTTTGGTTACATAAAATTTTAATTACTAAGATTTGATATTCAAAGTAATTAAAATTTTACTATATATTATTTAAACTTAAATGGATAGAATCATTTCAAATGTAACAATTTTAAGAAATTTAGTGGAGAAATCATAATAATATCTCTTTAATCAAGAACTTGACTCTAAATGACATTTAAACTTTGTAACATTATTTAAGTATTTGACAAATCAAAATAAAAATTCCACAAAATTTACAAATAGACAAATTGCATGCAATGCTTTTCATACTCTTATTTAAAAAATAAGTGAATTATAAAAGAGAGATAATTGTAAAATTATAATAGAAAAAGAAACTTGTAAATAATTAAATTTATATAGTTTATTTGGATCAATGTTGTTCTTCATATTAAAATTTTATGATAAAGAATTTAAAATATTTGAATAAGTTGTAATTTTTTTAAATCTTATTATAACTAATGCATAGATTATCTACATTGCCATCCTATATGGAAAAAAATTTAATTAAAAAACAGAATGTAGTAGTAAATTTTCTATTATAAAAAATACAATGCGTAAAATCTTAAAATGATAGTTAATAAAAATTAAAAAACAGAATGTAGCGGTAAATTTTCTCTTATAAAAAATACAATGTGTAAAATCTTAAAATGATAGTTAATAAAAATAGAGAGTAATAAATATAACATAAACATTCTTATAATAGTTTAACATACATATAAATTGTATGATCATATGGTTTTAAATGCATAAGTAATTTATACATTTAATTGTATTTAAATGGTATGATAATACAAATAATTCATAATTATTTTATGATTACGAAAATGAAACTATGATATAATTATATAATTTTTTATTTTTAATTAATCATAAAATTGTATAATCATAAATATCTTATTAATTAAATTATTAAATGAACTTTAAGTACACCAAAATTTAATATAAATAAAGAGGGTGAAAAAATATATAGATTAAGAATGAGAATGTAGAAACAAAATTGTAATATAAGAAAATGAAAAGATTATAAAATATAGTATGTGCAAAACCATTGTTAATAAAAAAAAGGATACCATAAAAAAGGAAGTAGGAAAAATTATTTGAAATTTTATTATAATTGTGTATTGGTAAAAAAAACAATACAGATGTGTGTTGTTCTTGTAAATGATAGAGACACTTAGATGCTTTAGTAGGTTTATTACGATGTATGGTAGTCGGAATTTGTCCATGACGGTGAGAAACACTGTATAATGGTGTTTTATGGTGGTTTAGAGGTCTTGTTCACGTGAGCTGAGAGGCCTTTGTATTGAGTGATGTGCTTAGGTATAAACGTATGTGAGGTATGATCTGTATGGATTAAGATCTGTCCACCATGGGGAGAAGTATTTATAGAGACCTATTGGGCCTAGGGTTTGGGTAACTCCTAGGGGCGACAATTGCTCCCTTATGATCAAGGGAGGTTATTTACCACTTAATCTTTATGGGATAGTGGTTAATTCCCTCTTCTTTCACTAACAGTGTTATAAATGTCACCAATGCCAAGGGAAAGCCCTCTGTCATTGCAGGGCATCTTCTAAGTGGCAACACTTCTGGGTGTGAGCGCCCTTGTTTGGGATACTTACAAATATAACACTACATAGTCCCTAAAGCACGAGAACTTTGCTAAAGGCATAGTATTTTCAAGGTCTCATCCATTTGAGATACGTCTCTCACCCCTTGGTGAGTTTCTCAATTGATGGCGACTATTCATTTAAAAGGGTGAGCCCCTCAGCGTGAGGCGGATCCCTCTACTGAAAGTTATTATTCATTTAAAATGTGAGTCTCGCAGATTGAGGTGAGTCC